GTGGGCTCAAGTGGTGCTACCTCAGATTATGCTTGCCTTTGGTGTAAAATACACAAGTTAGAGAGGTTTGATGTCCAAACCTAAGGACTATTATAACATTCACTGCCCGTATTGCTCGCACCCCTTTTGGAAAGACAGGAAATGCCTTCCCTACCACAGTCACAATGCAAGTATTCTTGTAAAAGGAAACCCCACATTAATACAGCCCTAGATCATGTGATACTTGATAAACTGCATCTCATGCTTCGGGTTACTGACCAACTCATGGAAAATTTGATAACAGAAGTCATGGAGAGAGACAGCAAAGCAGACTTTACCAAAAGAAGAGGAGAAGAGAAAGGTCTTTACTTAAAGAAACTTGTTAAGGATATAAATGGCACAGGAATTACATTTAATGTGTGGAAAAAAATGCGGACGGTAAGGGAAATGGCGTGTATGATTGGACAAGTTTGGTGGGGTCAAACAAAAAGAAGTTGATGAACAAGCTGCCTCTTCAACTTGAATCAAGTGATATTCTGTTTCCTGAAACCAAAGAGACAGTCATAAAAGTATGAACAACCTTTTAATTTGTGACTTGTACCATTGCATCACAGCATCAGAAATCAATGAAACAACAGGAAACCAAATATTTGAAAATGGTAAACAATGGATCGAACTGTATTGCTCACTCGGTGGAATACGACAAGGTTATGAGGAAGCTCGTATCACCCCATACATGCACTCCATACCCTACCATATTCCGAAATTTGTCTCTGATCATGGGTCTCTAAGAATGTTTACTGGACAAGGGGTGGAAAAGAACAACGACGATGCAAAAAGACTGTATTTTCAAAAATAAAACAAACAAATGGAATGCCACACGAGATGTGTTGCAGCTGGAAGCACGACAATATGCTTTGCGCAGTCAGGAAAGAGAAAAAAGAAAACACAACAAAACGAAAAACTAACTACTGTGAAACTGAAATCAGTGAAACTCGGCAGAAAAGGCCTCGGCCAAAAGTGAGTGACAAGAAAAATGGATCTGAAACTACAAGCAGCTCAAGTGCCATCTTGGATCAAAGCTGACAGTCAAGAAGCTGCGGAATGAAATCCATGCAAGAGGACTGAAGCCAAAAGTGACCAAAAATGACCAAAACACAGCTTCTATCTCTTCTGCAGTAAAGGAAAGGCCACAAGTGAATGAGCAACATTATACAGTGTAAATGAAATCTGCAATTGGCTTGAATTTTACCGTTATTTGCCTTGGTGCTTATGTTTACTATCATAACTTATGATAACTTGGAGTAAAAGAAAAACAAGGGCAAACCAGTTTGCATAAATATTCAAGTTTTATGTACAAACACATTTCTATAATACAGCATGTAAAACTCTCTTTCAATATTCAAATGTATAAAACTATACTCTTTGAACCTTATCAATTCACATGCATATTATGTCTGGAGAATATCAAAGCTTTTGCTGGGTTCATATTAAATCATTATATTTAAAAGTTAGTTCGGTAAAAGTTCTTTACAGCATGCTTTTGAATTAATCATGGGATACCATCTCAAGGAGCATTCTTGGTGCTTCTGTAAGTTTTCCCGCCTGTACCACAACGAAATGCTTTGATGAGCCGCTTCCAAGGTGAGTTTTCATCTTGAAAGGAAAACCTATGGCCTTACCTTGGCCATTACCATCCCGAATATATCACCAATGATATGGGCTTGACAGCTTGGTCAAATCTTTTAAGTTGAGCATGACATATTTGGAATCACTTAACCCTGTTCCCTTGTTGTTAAAAAAATAACAGTACATATCATGCTTCATGGCAAACGCACAAGTGTGCTGTGCTTTCACAGCATTCGATTTTAAAAGAGACTTGACAGCCAGATAAAAGCCATCTGATGCTGAGGCAATCTGACTTTCTGATGGTTTTGGTGGCTTGTCGTTAAGTCTACAAGGGATTCAGACAACACATCAGAAAAACACTGCACTTCAGTTAACCCCGAATAAAGCAATAAATTAGAAAAAAAAATTAAATAACAAAATATATAAAACCTGTCACCTTATAAGCTCTTTTGGGAGATGAAAAGATGGTTCCCAGGTGCAAGATTACATGGCCCACCCTTTCCACTTCAAAAGATACTCGAAGTCCTGAGAGAAAACAAAAAATACATAACTTGTTGAGAGAAAGGTTTACATTAAAATGAGATGGATTAAAGAACTCTCAACGACAGATGTGATTTAATGCTTTTTACTAAAAACTATTTCCAGTTTCATTTTATCCGCATAATACCAAGTTCTGGTGTAATTTTTCTAAATTATCAACCCATTTTCATTTTAAATAAGGATACAACCCTTGATAAGTCTCCAGGAACACGACTCAACGATAAAAATAAACAGAAGCATTTTGTACTTACGTTGCCACATTTTCGTCTCGAAAGAAGTCTACTTGCAAAATCTTTGACTTGGGTCGATATGATTTTGATCCGATCATATAAATGTCCGCTGTGGAAAGGTCGTCTAGAGCTTTGTAATTTATGCACGGGCTCCCAAGCTCAAAATTCGACACTGCATACGTGGTGTACGGGGTAGCTTGTGTATATAGAGAATTGTATGGGAAAGTCACCGATCGTTAAAAAAAAAAAATTGTATAAAAAACTATCTAATTTGAAATAAAGTTTTCTTACTTCAGTGTCGCGTACTTGTCTCTTGCACCGATTTTGAAGCCATTCTGACGCCGCTTGGTGAAGTTATTCGAAACCGTTGTCTCTCCTAAAAGAAGGGAAAGGCAGACCAATCCATCGATCGCTGGCCGGGCTTCACTCCACAAATCGCTCTCTCCTCTCCTCCTGTTGTCAGCGCGTGACTTGGTTCAAATGGACCAATTAGAGTTGAGGATGAAACCAGATACTTTGACTTTGCGTAGCGGCAGTTGGCGCGAGGGCGGTCACAAGCGTATCAGGAAAGCCGAAGAGGCGAACTTTAAGCTAAATTTTTCGTTCTTCACAAGTCTTTTGACCGCGGAAGCGGACTTTTCCTTTTGAGAACAGAGCGATTTGTGGGGTGACGCTGTGTGACGCTGCGCTATATCCGGACGAATAAACAATCATCCTCAAATTTGGTGATGTAGTCCACTCTGTCAAGATTTCCACTTTCAAAACATCAAGATGTCCCTTTTTCGGCGTTCCAGAATATCCAGGTGGTAGAACATAATATTTAGACAAGTTACCCACAGATAACGACATTTTCAGCGTCCAAACCTTCGTTCACGCCACTCTCCTGACTTTCACTGCGAGAAGCCATATTGAAAAGTTACGTTTTGCGCTAGCTAGAAGTAACGTTTTTCTAAGGAAATACTTGAAAAAAACATTTGATAGGTAGAAAGTCTCAAGCGTATGCAGCAATGTAATATATAGTTTATGGAAAAAAATATACAAGTTTAAACTACATCTATTCAGAACGTTCCTCGAGTCGTTCATAATTTGCGTCTTCGAGTAACGATTTTGCGCACACTTTTAGCTACATCTTATTTTTCCTTCCGGACAATTTTTTTTAAAATTTTTCAGTTTGAAAATAGTAATTTGATCACGAAAATTATACAATAAAATATATGTCATCATGCATATGCTCGTTTAAGAGGAAACGAGCATTTATTTCGCCGAGGGGCTTAGCTTGAGGAAAATCTCTTACGTTGCGTACGTGCACGCGCTCATGTGCACCACAGGCAGCCCAAGCTCTCTCTATGAAC